TCCGATCAGAATGACAAAATAAACTAAGCATCCACTGGAAGGAATCCTAATATCTGCAGACGGATCCGTTTCGGCCTTCCAGGCCTCATCAGTGCATCTAGGGTATAGACCCAAACGAAACGTTCGACCAGCCTAGGTTCATTGTTAATATTATGAGTTAGTTTAGGGATCGACTTCGAATTGAAGTAGGGGCCTACATGAAACACTAATTCATATTTCATTCATTTGATTTTTTTTATTTTCTAGATTAGTGTCTACAGTTCACCCTCTAAATCGAGACCACATTGTGAACGACCTTTAAAATAATTTCTATAAATTACAGGATTACTTTTTTAAAAGATTGATTGGAGATTGTTAGATGGCAAAAGCGGCCTTAAATTAGAGGGTTCTCGAATTAAGGGCAAATTTTATAACATTCTCTCATGTAGGCCTACCGTAAAACCTCGAATTGAAGTCCTGGGTTTCGTCTTATTTTTTTTTTTTTTTTTTGCAAACTTTGGGTGGGCTTCTTTTCGTGGCTACTTCCGCAAAGTAAAGAGGTGGGGTGGGGGGTGCTTCTTTTCAAAATAAATGCTGTATATTTTGGGAATTACTACTATAACAATAAATAAGGCCACTGTAACATCATTGTGTATCATGGAGTGTATGGACCGGCATTAAATTACCTAAACTGTATATACCAAACGTGCTTTTAATTTATTTTGTATTTTGAAATTCATGTACAGCGTATACTGTGCTTTCTTGAAAACATTGTTTTCTTTTCGAGATGGGCTTCTTCTCGAAATTAAGCCCATTTAGTTTCAGTACACTGACATGTATGTTGTGCACGAAAGTCTGAACGAATTAAGTACACTCGAAAAAAAAATATTGACAATGGTAATTATTGTTATGATGATGATGATGACGATCATAATGATACTGATATCTGACTCGCATCACCAGATTACGAGAAACGGGACCAAATAGACCGTATAATAGGCCTATGCAATTTCAGCAAAACGTAATTATATCATAAACATAAAGTTTTACCTTTAATTTTACTATTTTTGATGTTTTAGGTTCAATATTCTCAATATAAAATCCTAAAATTTAGTCATTTTATGAAGGCCATATATTCTACACGAAACGTATAGCAACAGTTAATAATGTGCATTAAATTCACCGCCTTTCAAGCCGTATTAAAATCATCCTCAAAGGCCTCCAGCAGTAGGGCAGCAGTACTAGTAGAGTACCGTTGTAATCATTTAAAGGATTTCTTCAATTATTAGAATTTTTTTAAATCAATAAAAACTGGTATCTTGATTTTCCTTGGAAACTGATAAATTTATTTTTTTGTCGCCATTTTGATGTTTGTATTTAACGACGGATTGCATGCTTTTGTGAGTATGGATAATAGAATGAGGTTCATTGTTAATATTATTATGAGTTAGTTTAGGGATCGACTTCGAATTGAAGTACATGAAACATTAATTCATATTTCATTCCTTTGATTTTTTATTTTGATGATCATAATGATACTGATATAAATGATAACAAAAATTATAATGTAGATCGCTTGTTTAACAGTCTCATCTTATTGATATAATAATAATAATTACCCGTAAACTGGGGTAACTTTGGCAGGTTTTTCACATTATAGGGCCAATATCTCCAAAAAAACTGAATCTTTTTTTTTTCTATCATATTATTTACATTTGAGGGTTAATGTTGCCACTTATGTTGAAAAAAATAAAAATCTGCATACAATTTTTCCTTGGGGGCCCATAAAGGAGCTGCCAAAGTTACCTTATGTTTGGGGCAACATTGGCACTTGACACATTTTCTATGAATTAACATAAATGTTGAGAATAGACAAACACAAGCTGAATTGTATTGGCAAGCAAATATCAACTTTAATAGCATCTAATAAAATTTAAAACGGTATGAAATCATTAAAAAAATCATAATTATAAAGTATTAAAGTGCTGTATAATAATAATATGCATTTATATTAGCTAAAATCCCATTAGTCCGAATCACTCGCACATTCACATCAACCAAATTCAGGCTTGTATTCACCACCATTGCATTGAACACCTTGACTTCTCTCCCTTGTTTATTCAGATGTCTGAATAATAATTTTCAGGTCATATGGAGTTATGGGTATCCCCATTTTGCCACTTCCGAGAGCGTTTGAACGAGAACCATCTCCTCCGCTTTCACTCAGCACTGTAGGTCGTCCTACATTTTTCTTATGCTTTTGATGTAGCTTGTTTTGAAGAGTCGACCTCGTACGGCATCTACGGCTTCTTATACATCATCCGTCACTGAACGATTTATATTTCCTCTTTCCATTTCCTGCCTTGTAATTACGAACCATGGTAGAACTGCAATTAAAAAGCGAAACCGTTTAATAACACCAAACACTTTTAAATTGTTTTCTCCCTACTGACATTTTTAAATTCACTATATAGAAAAACGCCTGGGCCTAAATAAATACATGAAAGAAAGGTAACTTTATTGTTATACAGTATAAACCTTTATATGTACTACTATTTAAATTTACATTGATGTTACCTACCCAAACAAAAACAAAACATTTACTTCCGGGTTTAGGCCTAGTAGAATGTTGGCATCATAAATAATATTATTACTATTATTTTTAGTTAGGATTAATAATTTTGATAATTATTTGTATAGACACTTCTGAATACATAACCCATAAATTATTTAGTGGTTGTGGGTGTGTCCAGTACCCTAAATTATGCAAAACATTCTCGCCTAGAGAGAATTGACTAGGACTAGACTTGGAGGAGTTAAAGGTCAGGCACAGGCATGGAGCATGATGCCTCAATTTCAATTTCAATTTAATGGATATCACTTTCGTAACAGTGGCACACGTTGGACAATACCCAACGGTGCATCCAAATATAAGAGAAAAATAATAAACTTAAACTAGGAGTAAATTAAACTAAAATGTATATACAAAGTAAAATTTATCAACATATTGCATTGGCATGTAGGTCTATGTGTTATGGTACCGGCAGTCTTACAGGACCGTATTATTTACAGAGTTGCTGTATGAATTGCAAGTTAATATGGAGCTAGAACTAACAGACAAATAACTAACATTACAAGATATTTATAACAAAATATAGAGCTTGCATGCATGGTGTATGTTAATAGCTCTATTGTTCGAACTGAGTTCCTGTGCTTGGTTTCCATATCAAAACAAAACAAAACAAAACTGTCACATGTTCGTTTCGTTTGACCAATCATAACACGGTTGACGTCTGTTCTCTACTCGCAAGTGGTGTATGTCGTCTAGCTGCATTGCAAGATGCTCAGACAAGCTTAAACATGTTTTAAAATCATGTATTCTTTCATAGTCACACACTTAATATGTTCTTTAACTCATATATAGCTGACTTACCGTTCAAGGTCAAGTAAATAGTTGCTATAACAAAGGCTGGACATTTTCTGAATATTATGATTTTTCGAAAGAGTTTGGCGAACAATGCACGATCGGTAAAGGCTTTTGTACACGATTTTCTTTACATTTGACTATTTGACTAGAGGGCGTTACCATATGGCCTGTCTTCGATTTTATTTTTTTTTTCTATTTATTCGCAATTTTTTAACATGACCCTTAAAATTAGGCCACACCCCCAAAGCCTTTCTTATATTTTTATAAAAACCTATATTTAAAAAAAAAATCAAGCTTGATATAATTAAATTATTTATTTCTGAACAAGTTGGTACCAACCATTCGCCAATCAGATGAATAGAAATCCTCCGAACGAGCCGACAAAGTTTGCAGGTAGTGAACTGCCAAAGTTACCCTGCATGCCAATGTTACCCCAGTTTACCCGGTAATGACCAAAGACCACGAACGGGCTGTAGACTCGCATCACCAGGTTTCGAGAAACGGGACCAAATAGACCGTATAATAGGCCTATGCAATTTGAGCAAAACGTAATTATATCATAAACATAAAGTTTTACCTTTAATTTTACTATTTTTGATGTTTTAGGTTCAATTTTCTCAATATAAAACCCTAAAATTTTGTCATTTTATGAAGGCCATATATTCTACACGAAACGTATAGAAACAGTTAATAATGTGCATTAATTTTTGAAGAAATTCACCGCTTTTCAAGCCGTCATATTTCGCTTCCCTACAATGTATTGTCGGCCATCTTTTGTTATTCTGTGAAATAAATATATATTGTGTGATGTGATTGGCTATTTTTGTCTCAGGTAATGATTTTTATCCAATAGAAAATTTCTTAAAAATGTAACCATAGGTATCAAATGATGCCTTGCGGGTATTGATGGAAGAGTTTGGTGTTCCACAACAACTAATTTGGATGGTGAAGAACTTGTATGATGGCACAAGTGAAGTTCGAGTCCGAGAACGGAGCTGTTCCGATTTCAAAAAGGAGTAAGACAAGCAGGGGCGGCAAAACCAGTACGGCAGATACGGCGGCCGCCGTACCAATACTTTGACATGATTGTTTTCAAATATTCCGTCTGAATAACCTAATGATGTTGAACATTCATAAGGAAAAGCTTGATGGTTTAGACATCGACAATATTGCGAATGAATGCGTTTATAGTGGGAGTGAGCATAGTGAGTATTTTGGAAAATTCAGTAATGGGGTGTAGGCTGACCTTCCAGTTAGAAAACATGTTTTATGTAGGTTTTGTGGCTCTTGTACATTATTCATATTTACATGATGGTAACACGCCGTACCAATCAATAAATGCTTCCGCCGCCCCTGCAAGGATGTCTAAACTCCTCACTACAAGATTGTTGGTGAAAAGATTATAAGAGAAGTAGAATAGAGAGCTGGTAAAGTAAATCTGAAATATCAGACATGCGGATGACACCACCACAATATTGGCCAGCTCCAAAGAAGAACTTGGGCAATGGACTTTTCCGCTAAGCCCCGCCCATTGGATATTGTTGCTAAGGTCCCACAAGACGACAATGTTAAAACATACGCAAACACGTGCGTTTGTGGGACAACACGTGTGTTTGTGAGACGCGCGCGTATTCCTAGCGTTTTTCTGATTAGTCAGTTGTTAAGTTTGATTGACACTCCGGGAAAGGTCTATTCAGCTGAACTGCTTAGATTTTTGATAGAGTACGAGTTTACAGTGAATGCGCCAGGATCTGCCCGACAGGGTGGGGGCTAAGGGCCCCGACGGGATGGGGCTAGCCGAGCGAAGCGAGCCTCACTTCGCTGGAGGGGGGGGGGGG